TTAAGACACAAAGCTCATGTTTAGGAATTCGCAAAGGATGAAAACAAGGAAAGAAAGCCTCAACCATCATTCTAAAAAGCAGAGGACCTTTTATGGGGAGTGCAATAGAGAACAGGAAATCCGATGGAACCAATCAAAGGAAGGGGGGGGGGGGTGTTACTTATAATATAAACATAGCTCACGCAGTCTTTTCTAATCTTGTGTAGTCACCTCCATCATCCATGGTACACCTTCATCTCTCTCGACCAGAAAATACACAAACATATATATAGATATATATATAGAAGTTGTACTTCTTCATCATCTTCGCTTTGCTTCAAACATGCCGGCGCCTACCATTGTTAAGAACTTGAATCTCTGCTTCACCAAGACCAAATGGCCACTAAATCTTCAGTCATCTCCTACCCAACCTAACCCAGATGATCAGGGCCGTCCATTTCGCTCATCCGCCACCAATTCATCTACCCTCATCAAAACCTTTAACTCCGTTTACGACTACAACGCCGGCCTAGACCTTCGTTACGACGTCGTACGCACCAATAACTACAACTTCCCGCCCGAACCCGAGTCCGACACCGAACCCGATTTCGCCACCGTCTTCGCCTCTCAGCGGTTCTTCTTCGCATCTCCCGGACGGTCCAACTCCATCATCGAATCGTCACCGTCAATCCGAGAAGAAGACACGGAATCGTCGTCGACGTCAGACACTGAGTGCGATTTGGACTTGCGGGAGACGACGGTGAAGGGGAGCGTGGCGGTGCCGACGTACTCGCCGGACCCGTACGCGGACTTCAGGAAATCCATGGAGGAGATGGTGGAGGCACGTGAGTTGAAGGACGCGAAGGGGAAGTGGGAGTACTTGCAGGAGTTGCTGGTTTGCTACCTTGCGTTGAATCCGAAGAGTGCGCACAAGTTCATCACCGGAGCGTTCGCCGATGTCATCGTCACCCTCATGTCCTCGCCGGAGGAGAACCAGAGATCATCGACGAAGGTGTGATATATATTAATATTATCTCTTTTTTGTTTAGAACTTTCAAGGGAAATCCAATATCCATGTAACTGTGATATAATTAAGGTGGGTTTTTGTTTTTGTTGAGTAATTCATCATTAGTTATATATAATAAACTTTTATATTATAAGCTCTCATCTACATATATATATATATGAATAGACATTGAATTATATATATATATTTATATATATATATATAGGTGTGTCTGTGAATTGAAAATGGTCCCCGTTATGTTTTTATGGTTAATGTTGTCTGGTATTGCATGAAGGCTTATCCTTGACACACATCATCTTCCATTTTAGTTGTAGGGATTTCCTGCAGGTAGCATGTGTTGCGGTTCTTTTTGTTTTTTTTTGTTTTCTTTTTAAAGTTCGATCCATTATACATATATACATATACACATATATACATATACATACGATTGATTGTTGAAGACGATACCAGAAGTAAAAGTTGAGATAGAATTCTCCATACATAACTAAAAAGGGTCAGCAGAACCGGGGCCAGATTCAGTTTTTCTTTCCCAAGTATCACAAAATTTCATCCTGTAAAATTAATTTAATTCATCTTCCCCATATGAACTTATTAATTGTCTGAGTGTGGGCAGAAAGGGATGAAAAAGGTGTGTTAAAAAAGGCAAAAATGAAAAAGAAGGAATATAGAAACAGTTGGTGGTGTAAGTAAAGGAGATGGAAAAAGGTGTAATAAAGCTGCTGCTAATTATTAGATTCTTTCATATAATTGATTTTATTTTTTTGTTCATAATAAGTAATAAATTAAATTATTTTCCACCCATTTAATTTAATTTTTTTTTGAGTTTATAATAATTATCGTATCAAAATCAAATTAAATTTAAAATTTAATTTTAAATATAAAATATTTGAGTTTTAATATAAATAATAAATTATGTTATTATTTATTAAATTAAAATTTTAAAATTGTGGCTCACGATATAATAGTGTTATAAGGGAAACTTTCAAGTTTATAAAACATAATTTTTTCATAAAATAAAATCTTAAGTGTATTAGACAATATTATCCATATGGTTTATAATTAATAAAAAAAAATATAATTAAACA